CTCCTTCCCTGCCTCAGTTTCCCTCCAGGACCCCCCCCCCCAGCTTCAGGCTCCTGCCCCCCCCCTCCCCCCTGGTGCCTCAGTTTCCTCGGGGAGGCCTTGCCAACCCCCCCATCGCTGAGGGTCCCTCAGGGGCGAAGGGGGCGGGGCAGGGATGGCCCGTTCCCATGGCAACGAGGCCTCCTCTCTCTTATTCTCCTTCTCTCTCACCCACCTCCGGGAGGCCGCACTTCCCCTTGTCCGGGTAGGGCGACAACCCCGCCGCGTAATTGACCGACATCCCGCCGCCGCCGCCTCCCCCCCGCCCCCCCCGCCGCCCCCGCCGCCGCCCCGCTACGTCTTCATCGTTTCGTTGGGAATCATTAGGGGCCTTTCCCCCTCCCGCTCAGCGGATAACTTCCGGTCGGGGAAAAAAAAAGACCGGAAGGCGACTTGCTGCGCAGGCGCCTCGCACTACCATTAGTTATGGGGCGGTCTCGCCATCTTTGTTTCGGGCGGAGGGAGCGCGAGTGTTGCTTTCATTGAAAGGTGACGAGTCGAGGGCGCCATGTTTGCTTTTGGCCCGAGTATGGGAGGACGCCATGTTTGATACTGGTAAAGAGAGAGTGCGTTTCTGTGCGTGGTCGCGTATAAGGTAAACTGGCGGCGTCGCCATCTTTGTTTTGGGCGGAGAGAGCGGGAGTGTTGCTTTCATTGAAAGGTGACGAGTCGAGGGCGCCATGTTTGCTTTTGGCTCGAGTACGGGAGGACGCCATGTTGGATACTGGTAAAGAGAGAGTGTGTTTCTGTGCGTGGTCGCGTATACGGTAAACTGGCGGCGTCGCCATCTTTGTTTCGGGCAGTTAGGGCGGAAACGCGGGAAAGAGGGAAGGCGAGGGGCCTTCTGGCGGGGGGGGGGATTTGCTTTTTTTGGAAAGAGTTCAAACAACCCCCCAAAATATTAAAATCGCAATATTGATAAAAAAGTAGCAGTTTAATATCATGTTGACCTTTGAAGGTTTTAGGAAGACTCCATTAAACAGATGCATTCAGACAATCACACAGGCTTTCTCATCCTGGTTAGGTTTCCTTTTGTGCTTAGGAAGTCGTCTGAATCCAACTCCCTGGTCAGTTTAAGGGTCAACCTATTGGGAGAGCTGAGAAAAATCCAATCAGTTAAGTCTGTTGGGTGAACCCAGCTGGTTTAAAGACACAAGAATAATCTTTTGAAGGAAAACACGTTGTGGGAAGTCAGCCCCCCCCTAATGTAGTAAAATGAACAATTATTAGAATAATGATGTGGCTGCATAATTGCTAGAACAATGAGGTAATGCATAATCACTGGGAAAATTCACTGGGAAAGTTCTGTTTCAGTAATATGTGGCAACCAAATGCGCTTTGCACATGGATACTTTGTATGTAGCAAAACCTTCCATTGTATGCCTGTGAGAAACGAACCAAATGTATCACAGTGTATTACCATGTGCAGTCCCTTTGTTCCTGAAAGGAGGGGAGTATAAAAACTGAAGTCTAATCCCGCCCTCCTCGTTCAGAATTGCCTATCTCTAATATGCCTCTGAACCTTGCGCAAATAAACTTCTCTGCTAAACCCCTCTGGAATTCGTAAGAGTTCTTTCGTTTTCCACGACCCCAGAGAAGGAAATATTAAAAGGGCAGAATATTATATTTCCTCAAAGGATCTTAAAGAGGCAGAAAAGCAGGCCCAGTTTTTTTTAATAGCCCCAAGTCTCCCTCCCCCAAGCAGAAACCAGCTCTTTAGAAATGCAGATGTAAATAATCCATTCAGGAAAGTTGGAGCTCTCCAGCTAGAAGCTCAGGAAGACAAAGACACCTAAAATCTACATAACCCACCCAAAGTTTAAGACAGGACATAATAGGATTAACCCACAGATGCCAAAGGGCACACCCAGACTCAGGTCAGAATACATGACACAGGAAATAGCCTCAAACAGGAACAGGAAACAACTCCAAACAAAAAGCCCCAGAGGGTATAAAAACCCACTCCCTACATGTGCTCTCTCTCTCTTTTCCGCCAGAGCCATCTTTCTGTCTGGCTCTCCTCTTCAATAAACTGCAACCTTCTTTCTAAAGCAGTCGCCATGTTTATTCCCAGCTCGGACTGAACCAGGATGAAGACTTTTCTTGCAACAATGTTTTCATGGTATTTTTTAAATTCCTCTCTTAACTTTAATTAATTCCACTTGGCTTCATTTCCCTAGTCCAGTGGCCTCCAACCTTGACCGCTTTAAGCCTTGTGGATGACCAGCTGCCCGCAAGGAATACAAATCCTTCCATTTGCCCACCATCTGGTCAGAGTTGAAGAAGCTTCTTGGAGGAGAAGCGAAATGTCTTCAAAGAAAGTCCAGTTGCCTCGTGAAAAAAAGCACCTTTGGGTTCCCCACTCAGAGCATCTTATCTCTGAACAGCAGGAACTGGGAACAAGGCACAAAGCACAGGTAGTCCTCGACTTTACGACAATAATTGGGAACAAAGTTTCCGTTGCTAAGCCTGGCGTTCGTTAAGTGGGTCCTGTTCAAATTGACAACCTTCTTTATTTATTTGTTACTTATTTGTTTGTAAAATTTATTAGCTGTCCATCTGGCTACAGGTGGCTTTTTTTGTGTCATAGTTGTTAACCAAAATCACTATAGTTAAATGAATCAAAGTGGTCGTTAAGCGAATCCAGCATCCCCCATTGATTTTGATGGTCGGACGTCGGCTGGGAAGCTCACAAACGGCAGTCACGTGACCCTGGGATGCTGCAACCATTGTAAATACATGCCAGTTGCCAAGCACACCTGCATTTTGATCACGCAACCACAGGACAGTGTTATGGTTGAACGTGCAGGTCACTTTTTCAGCACTATTGTAACTTTGAATCTCCTTAAATGGTCCAAAGTCAGGGGTCTTCAAACTTGGCCCTTTTATGACTTGTGGATTTCAACTCCCAGAATTCCTCAGCCAGGCATGCGTGCCTGGCTGAGGAATTCTGTGAGTTGAAGTCCACAAGTCATAAAAGGGCCACGTTTGAAGACCCCTGTTGTAAATCAAGGTCTGTCTCTATTGCTGTATAGTATATTCTTTTGAAATTTGGAGTCCACCTGCAAGTCAAACCTTACTGGGGCCCAAAGCAATGCGCAGCTCATCCTGAACTTTCAACCATCTTTCAGCCTGTGGGAAGTCACCCCCCCCCTGCAGAGAAAGAAATATTTTTGGGTGGGGGATATTAAAAAGAGAAGAATATTATATTTCTCAAAGGAATACAGTGATGGAGAAAGGAAATCTTAAGAGACAGCAACCAACCCCAGCCCTTCTCCCCCAGGCAGACACCAGCTCTGTAGAAATGCAGATTTGATAATCCTATTCTGAAACGTTGGAGCCAGGAAGTTAGAAGCTGATGAGATTAATAATAATAATAATAATAATAATAATAATAATAATAATAATAATAATAATAATAATAATAATAATAATAATAATAAAATAAAAAAGTTGGAAGGGACCTTGGAGGTCATCTAGTCCAACCCCCTGCTCAGGCAGGAAACCCTATACCATTTCGGACAAATGGCTGTCCAGTCTCTTCTTAAAAACTTCCAGTGTTGGAGCATTTAGAAAGACAGAGATCCTTAGAACCAACAACCCCTCGCCCCAAAAAATCCAACACAGTACATACTCATCAGCCACAACCCCAGGGAAGCAGGATATGACCTTTGGGACATAATAGGATTAACCCACCTCCATCAGAATGCCAGAAAGGCACACTCAGACACAGGTCAAAGTTCATGTCACAGGAACAACTCCAAACAAAAGCCCCAGAAGGTATAAAAACCCACCACTCCCTGCTCCATGTGGTCAGTTTTTCCCAGAGCCATCTTTCTGTCTGGCTCTCCTCTTCAATAAACTGCAACCTTCTTTCTAAAGTAGTCTCCATTTTGTTTATTCCCGGCTTGGACTGGACCCCGATGAAGACTTTTCTTTCAACAAGCCCCAAAGTTTCACTGCAAAGCGAGACCGTGGTTAAGGGAATTTTGTCCCATTTTTATGACCTTCCTTGCCACCGTGGTTAAGTGAACCCCTGCAGTTGTTCAATTAGTCGAATGGTCGTTAACCGAATTGGGCTTCACCGTGGACGTTGCTTGTCAGCAGGTCACGAAAAGGAGATTGCGTGATTCTCCGGGATGCTGCAACCGCCATAAAGACATGCCGGTTGCCAAGCATGTGAATTTTGATCAGGTGATCACAGGGATGCTGCCATGGTCGTAAGTGTGGAAAACGGTCACAAGCCACCTTTTTCCGGTGCCATCGTAACTTCGGTCACTAAACGAATTGCGATAACTCAAGGACTATCTGTATTGTCTTACAGTATATTCTTTTGCAATTCGGAGTAAACCTGCAATTCAAACCCTACTGGGGCCCAAAGCAACGTATTATCTCTGGGCCATTTCTGCGCTCTGTGGAACACCAAGGCAACTGCAAAGGTATCAGCTGCACCACCTGGGAGAGGAGTTAAGTTACCTGTGACAGGTAATTAATTAATTATCAAGAGCTCTCCTGTCTCCTGTACCACCATGCCTGTACAGATCTCCAATCATATACCTAGGAGCCAGGTATACCTGTTCAGATCTCCAATCTTACACCTAGGAGCCAGGCATACCTGTACAGATCTCCAATCTTACACCTAGGAGCCAGGTATTCCTGTACAGATCTCCAATCATTCCTAGGAGCCGGGTATATCTGTACGGATCTCCAATTTTACACCTAGGAGCCAGGTATACCTGTATGAATTTCCAAACTTATACCTAGGAGCCAGGTATACCTGTATGAATTTCCAATCTTATACCTAGGAGCCAGGTATACCTGTACGGATCTCCAATCTTATACATAGGAGCCAGATATACCTGTACGGCTCTCCAGTTATATATACCTAGGAGCCAGGTATACCTGTACAGATCTCCAATCTTATACCTAAGAGACAGCTATTCCTGTATGAATCTCCGATCTTACACCTAGGAGCCAGGTATACCTGTACAGATCTCCAATCTTATACCTAGGAGACAGATATTCCTGTATGAATCTCCGATCTTACACCTAGGAGCCAGGTATACCTGTACGGATCTCCAGTTATATACACCTAGGATCCAGGAATATTCTGAAACCACTTGGCAGCCAGGTGTACCTACTGTAAGAAGACACCTTTGCTACTGTGTGGTGTTTGCCCACCTGCAGTGAAACACGAATCCGAGGGCCTCCGTGGGACCTCAGCCGAATCGCCTGACCAAAAAACCCAGACCGGCTCCTAACCCCGAGAGACCATCACAGGTAAGTCTTTCCTCATTTGCATATTTTTGTTCCTCTTTTTCAAAGCAGCCCTCTCTTTCCTAAACCGCAGGCTTTGCAGGGCTTCAGCTAACCAAGGAGAAAAATTGGGCCAAAAGTTTAGAGCTTTTTGTTGGATAAACAACCGGATTCCTTCGAGACACACATCCTCAGGGGGACGGTAGCCACCGTCTCCACCTTCTGACGTGACGGAAAATCGGATCTTAATTAAACCACAAGGGGATGGCAGAGCCTGAGGATCTTCTGAGACCAAAGCACGAGATCCAATTTCCCGGTTGCTGGATCCCAGGTGATGTGGGCAACGGGGGGGGGGGAGGCTCCAAGGATCCCCCTAAAGCAACCGAGAGTTTTGAAAACTCAGAACAGAAAAACGGAAAGCACCAGGTGCGAATCAAGGCCACGTTGTGGGTGGCACAATTTGGGGGTGGTGGTTGCCAGCTCCGGGCTAAGCCCGCTACCGTCCCTCTTGGCATCATCGCTTGCTGGCGAAGAGCTTCGGCAGTCCGACTGCAGCCCCTCCCCACACTTACGGCCAGTGGATTAGCAGCCTTTGAAGTTACGACAGACCCCTAAAAAGCTATTTAGAATAATAGAGAGCAACAGAGTTGGATGGGGCCTTGGAGGTCTTCTAGTCCAACCCCGCTGCTCAGGCAGGAAACCCTACGCCATTTCAGACAAGTGGCTGTCCAGTCTCTTCTTAAAAACTTCCAGTGTTGTAGCACACACAACTTCTGGAGGCAGGTGGTTCCACGGATTATTTATTATTTGTCCCACTGATTATTTATTTTGAAGTTCTGATATTTTGGGTGCTTAGCACATCCATTTTCAGCACATCCCAGTTATACAATTTACAATGTTTTTCTTGTTGGCTTCATCCTGGTTACTGGCGAAACAGCCATAGCAAATTATGGCTTCGCTTAATGACCTTGGTGTTTGCTTTACAGCCCCCTTGTTCGTTTAACGACCACAGCAAAAAAGAAAAAGTGATAAAAACGGGGTCTGGCCCTATGGTGATCTGCTTTGGAACCGTCACGACTTACAACAGGAATTGCTAGGCTCAATTCCATCCGTAAGTCGAGGACTGTCTGTATGAACTAGAAGCCACGAGGCTGTGACTTGTAAAAAACTACCTTCCTTTGTCCTTTTCCAGATATGCCCCTCGCTTGACGCCTTGAGGACCCAGGTCTCACGGTTGATCCCCGACTTACGACCACAATCGAGCCCCAAATTTCCGTTGCTAAGAGAGACAGTTGTTAAGTGAGCTTTGCCCCACTTTACGACCTTGTTTGCCGCGGTTGTTAAGCGAATCGCTTCTGTGGTTAAGTCAGCACCACAATGGTTAAGTGAATTTGGCTTCCCCCCCATTGACTTTGCTGGTCAGAAGGTCGCAGTACGGGATCACGTGACCCCCGGGGACACTGCAGCCGTCATAAATATTAGTTGGTTGCCAAGCGCCTGAATTTTTGATCACGTGATCGTGGGGAGGCTGCAGCGGTCGTAAGTGTGAAAAACGGTCATAGTCAGTTGTCAAGTGCCTGAATTTTTGATCACGTGATCGTGGGGGTGCTGCAATGGTCATAAGTGTGAAAAATGGTCATAAATAGGAGTCGGCTGCCAAGTGGCTGAATTTTTGATCACATGACTTGGGGATGCTGCAATTGTCGTAACTGTGAAAAACCGTCATAAATACGAGTCAGTTGTCAAGTGTCTGAATATTGATCACGTGACTGTGGGGAGGCTGCAACGGTCGTAAGTGTGAAAAATAGTCATACATAGGAGCCGCCTGCCAAGTGGCTGAATTTTTGATCACGTGACCGTGGGGAATACTGCAACGGTCGGAAGTGTGAAAAACCGGTCATAAGTCAGTTTTTTCAGAGCCGTTGTAACTTTGAACACTGGAAGTTTTTAAGAAGAGACTGGACAGCCACTTGTCTGAAATGGTAGAGGGTTTCCTGCCTGAGCAGGGGCTTGGACTAGATGACCTCCAAGGTCCCTTCCAACTTTATTATTATTATTATTATTATTATTATTATTATTATTATTATTATTATTATTATTATTATTATTATTATTATTATTATTATTATTATTATTATTATTATTACTAGCTGTACCCGGCCACGTGTTGCTGTGGCTCAGTCTGGTTAAATGAAAAAGAAAGAAAAGAGAAAGCGCACGTTTCTAATATGTTTAATTTCACAATGCTTGTGGGTATACAATATTTTTTGTTGTTCCATTGTCTGTGCAGATATAGAGATTGTCTGTTTTTGGCGCTGTTTTTCAAAAAAAGCATGTTTTTACCTGTCACAGGTGTGACATCTATATAATAGTAGGTATATAAAAACACGCGCGTATTCGAATGCAACGTTGTGTCAAAATTTCAAAGCAATCAGTGAAGAACTTTCGGAGATTTAAGATTTTGAACAAACGAACATTTACATTTTTATTTTTATAATTATGTTCAATTGAACGCACAATGATAGGTTGAGGCAATACAGGTAACCCTCGACTTAACGACCGTTCGTTTAGTGACCCTTTGAAGTTACGATGGCACTGACACAAGCGCATCCTGGCCGGTTTTTTTCACACTTACAACCGCGGCGGCACCTCTCTGGTCACGTGATCAACATTCACACGCTCGGCAACCGGTTCACATTTATGACGGGTCGCGGTGTCCTGGGGGGGGAGGTCACATGTCTCCCCTCTTGCGACCTCCTGACCAGCGAAGTCCAGATTCACTTAGAAACCGTGTCACTAATTGAACACCTGCCGTGATTTGCTTAACAGCGGTGGCAGGAAAGGTCGTAAAATGGGGCCAAATTCACTTCGCAACAGAAATTGTGGTCGTAAATCGAGAATAGCAGGGTTCCAGTATTTGAGGGGCTGCCCCAAAGTAGAGGGAGTCAAGCTATTCTCCAAAGCGCCTGAAGGCTGGACAAGAAGCAACGGTTGGAAACTCATCAAGGAGAGAAGCAACCTGGAACTAAGGAGAAACTTCCTGACAGTGAGAACAATTAACCAGTGGAACTGCTTGCCACCAGAAGCCATGGGTGCTTCATCACTGGAGGTTTTTAAGAAGAGACTGAACAGCCACTTGTCTGAATTGGTTTAGGGTCTCCTGCTTGAGCAGGGGGCTGGACTAGAAGACCTCCGGGGTCCCTTCCAGCTCTATTTTGATTCTGACTCTCTGTACCCGTGTCGTAGGTGGGGACCTCACACCATTTCCACGCTCTTGATTTGTGTCTTGCAGAGAGCACCATGAAGACCCTGAAAGCCAGGTTCAAGAAGGGCGACGTGAGTACGAGCCGCCGTTGCTGTCTCCTCTTTTCAGCCTAAGGTCAGGATTAAAACCCAGAGCCCTTTTGCTCGCAGCCCTCCAGCCTGCAGAACAGGTTGTAAATGGGAGCAGGAACCCCAGGTCTCTCTAACAACCCTGGACAATTTACACGTCTTTAGCGGAAGGGGGAAATCCCTGCAATTGAGGGATTAAGATTAAAAAAATAGCTGGAGATGCCCAGGGCGATCTGATGAGGTCCCATCAAGTCAGTCTGGACTCTTGGCAGCCAGAGGCAAATCCTCACCCTGGTTCTTCCGCTCTTTCTCCATTGCTCCTGCAACCGAGTCCGTCTCTCTTCCTGCTGGTGGACCTCATCGTCTTCTCCTTCCTTCCATTTTTCCCAGCATCAAAACCTTGACCAGAGCACTCTCCCAAAGGGGCTTTTTTTCAGGAGGCAACTGGACTTCCTTTGTTTTTCTTTGAAGATGTTTCACTTCTCCAAGAAGCTTCTTCAGCTCTGACTGCATGGTGGGGGAACGGAAGGATTTATACTCCTTGCAGACAGCTGGTCATTTGCATCCTTTTAGAGAGTCGTTGAGGCCACTTGGAGGTTTATCTGTGTCCTTAGGGTCACCTGAGTGGTGCAAATGGGTGTGGAGCCTCCTTGGAAGTCCTTTCAACAGTTCTAAGAAGGCTCCACACCCATTTGCACCACTCAGGTGACCTGAGGAGACAGCTAAACCTCCAAGTGGCCTCAAGGACTCTCTAAAAGGATGCAAATGACCAGCTGTCTGCAAGGAGTATAAATTCCTTAATTGGTGTCCTGGTGGACGATCCCTTAAACTTGAGCCAGCCGTGTGCGGCAGCCGCCAATAAAGCCAATACAATCCTGAGTTGTAGAAACAGAGGCATAGAATCAAAATCATGTGAAGTATTAGTACCACTTTATAAAGCTTTAGTAAGGCCGCACCTGGAATCCTGCATCCAGTTTTGGTCACCACATTACAAAAAAGAAGTTGAGACTTTGGGAAAAGTTCAGAGAAGAGCAACTAAGATGATTAAAGGCCTGGAGACTAAAACATACAGGGAACAGCTGCAGGACTTGAGTTTGGCCAGTCTAGAGAAAAGAAGAACCAGGGGTGACATGATAGCAGTATTCCAGTATTTGGGGGGCTGCCACAAAGAAGTGGGTCTCCTCAGGGTGCCGTCGGCCAAGCAATGTCGGCTGGCGACCCCCAGGGGGAGGGCCTTCTCTGTGGGTGCCCCTGCCCTCTGGAACGAACTACCCCCCGAGATCCGGATTATTCCGGATCTCCTTACTTTCCGCCGCGCCCTCAAGACATGGCTTTTCCAACAAGCGGGCCTGGCCTAGGGAGGATTTTTA